GGACATGCATAGGATTGTCATGACTCAGAATCAACTCAATGACAACTGCTTTTTGTTTTGTTATATATAATCTATAAATGTTCTAGTATGCATAATCTACAAAAACCTGTTGCCATGGAGTCAATTCCAACTCATACCCACCCTGGAGGACAGAGCAGGAGTGCCTCATAGGGTTTCCTTAATCTTTATAGAAGCAGACAGCATCATCTTTCTCCTGCAGAGCTGCTGGTGGGTTCGAACATCTGATCTTTTGTCTAGCAGCCAAGCTCTTTAACCACTGTAAAACCAGGGCTCCATATGGATGGATGGATAGACACACAGACAGATAGGTAGGTAGAAAACAGAGTCTCTACCCTTGATAGAACTCATACTTTATGGTGAAAGAACATACTGTATTGAAATATTTACATGAAGGGGTTAATGATGGTAGAGAAGTGTTCAGAAATCAGGTGGTAGTTAAATATTCTTGAAGTATGTGTAGGTATTCATGTAGCAGGTAGAAAAAATGGAGGAAGGAGTGGAAGTCTAGACAGAAGGAAAAACAAGAACAAAAGCACAGTGGCATGATACTGCATTATATTACCGAGTAATTGTAGTCAGACTGACAAAAAGGGTATATATCAGCAAGCAGCTGGAGACAGGAAGATAGGCAGGCAAAGTCCAGCTCATCAAGGGCCTTGAATGCAAAACCAAGAAGGTTGTATGTTTTTCCAATAGATTTTGGGAGCCTTTGCAATGGAAACTTTGAATAGATTCTGACAATCATGCAGAAAATTAAGCACTTGAAAAATAAATTTTGTGTGGAGTGGTTAAATTAACTGAAAATGTTTAGGTTAGAGAATAAGACAGATGAAAAGAAAATTTTCACTCTGTAAGAAGTTGTTATACAGATAGTGACCAGTTATTTTCAGTTCCCACTAAGGACAAAGCAAGATGAAATAGGCTTAAATTTCAGCAGAAAGGGAAATTACCTACAGAAGGGATCCTTCACAGAAAGATTGAGTGTGACTGACGTAGATGATTAAAATGTTGTTGTCTCATGCTGTCTGGCTATGTGCTGAGTTCTCTGCAAACAGCCCTATTTCAAAGATGTGGCAATGACTAAAGACTTTCAGACTGGAGTGAAAGTATTTGAAATTAAAAACCTCTTATGTGTCAATTAATTATTGAGCTATTTTGCTATCTACCTAACCAAAGCTTTAAAAATGTATTTAAAATGTCAAATATAAACATGATCTTTCATAATATAGCATTTGTATTTATTATAATAATAGAGGAGTGAACAGAATTAGCTATAGAAGTAAATGTTGTTCTATTAAAGGTATTTTATATTCATGTACCATTTCAGAAAGTTATTAAAGATTAGGTAGATATGATTAATATAATTCAGTTACTAATCTTTGTGTATAACATTTACTGGTCAGATGATGGTTGCAATTAAAATTTCTATATGGTTTTTTAACTGATGATACTTTATCAGTTAATACAGTGAATTATTCTCTCATTTTTATTGTTCGTTGTTAAGTTACTAAAATATGCAACTTTTTTTTTTTAGCTTTTCCAAATATTTTCAGTTTCTGGAACTACTATATTTTGTTTGAATATGTATACAAGGCGGACTTTTGTAGGGGAGCAGTTTTGTTCATCTCTTTACATCTTGTAAAAATAAGTCATGTATCTGTCTCATGCCATAGCCTAACTGTTGCTGGTGGCTGATGGAGAGAGAGGAGTACAGGCAGGGATACAAAAAGGCACTTGGCTTCTGGCTGTAACAAATCTTGAAATGCTTGCAATATAGTCACCACTGAGACTTGATGTTAAAATAAAATTCACATGATTTCAAGTTAACCAGATATCAAATATTGTTGTGCTTGTTATGTGCCGTCGAGTCAGACCTGACTCATAGCGACCTCTCCTTGAGTTTCCAAGGCAGTATCACTACAGAAGTAGATTGCCCAGCGTTCCTTCCGAGGAGTGGCTGGTGGGTTTGAACCGCCAGCCTTCTGGTTAGCAGTCATGTGCCTTAGGAATTACGCTACCAGAGCTCCTTAGATATCAAATAGAAATTTTATTCCTTAATAAATGAATCCAAACACTTTGGGAGTGATTTTGTGTATAGTCAAATTTGGTTACTTTTGTTCTAACCCAATAGAGGTATATATTCAACTAGTCCACTTGGAAGAGCAGCACAGGGCCTGACAAATAGAAAGTAACTTTTGTATGAATTGTGTAGATGTGGTCAAAGAAACTGAAGATATGTTAATGCAAAGTAAATTGATTTTAATAAATAGATAATATTTCCTTTTATATTTTAATTTTATGTGTTTATTTAAAAATAATTGGTCTGGGGGTCATAGCAAAAATGAAAAAAATGAACAAATATACCACACTGGTTGCCATTGAGTCAGTTCCAACTCGTGATAGCCCATATGTGTCAGAGCAGAATATGCTCCCTAGAGTTTTCAGTGGCTGATTCTTGAAATGCAGATCACCAGGCCTGTCTTCCAAGGCATGTCTGGGTAGACTTGAACCTCTAAACTTTCTGTTAACAGCTGATCATTTAACTGTCTGTGTCACCCAGGGATGCTCTAAGGGTCATACACATTACATAAACAGAGAAACAACCCTCTATTCCTTATGATGTCCTACTAGTTTGAAATTTTAAAATAACCCCGTGTGTGATATTTTTTAAAAATATGATTGTTGCAATACAGATTTCGTAATTTGTCTCCCAGACCAACTAAGATATTTCTCAGCTAGTCGAGACAACTGCTTGGTCATATTTTCCCAAGCTTTAAAAGGGGATATTAAGATTCTAAGAAACACATGTATACTCTTTCTAAACCCTTGTGATTTTAACAAAGATACTTAGATATTTAGTTGTCTGACATGTTATGTTTTCTTTATCATTTTTCATTATAATAATTCTACTAAATTTCTGAACAGAAATTGTCAGTGAACTTTTTTCTAAATAAATATTTATTAATAAATAGGGTTTTTTATGCAAAATATGTAATATCTTTGTTAAGGAAAGAAAACATAAAATGACATGTGAGCACAATACTATTTTGCTGTTTATGTGTTTTTCTTGCTGATGTTGGGTATGTACATACTTTTTTTTTAAAACAAATCATACTAATTCAATTCACTATCCTGAAAAACCACATAGGTTTTTGCTATTGTTTTGTGTAGCATTGTGTGTTTTTTTTTCTCTACAGAATTCACACAATATAGATCATTTTCAGTTTATTTAGGAAGATATACCTTTGATTGCCCCTGTTGTTGTTGTTGTTATGTGCCATCGAGTCAGCCCCGACTCATAGCGACCCCTCCTTGGGTTTCTGAGGCAGTATCACTGTGGAAGTAGATTGCCCAACCTTCCTTCTGAGGAGTGGCTGGTGAGTTTGAACTGCCAGCCTTCTAGTTAGCAGTCAAGTGCTACCAGAGATCCTTTGATTGCCCCTAAGCACCTAATATTTTAAACATTTTAGTCAATTTGTAAGAAAAATTAATATATTCATTTCCTTATAATTTGGAATATCCAGTATACTCTGAAAACAATGTACTTTGGCACCAAGTAGCACTGGAATACCAGGTTAAGAATTGTTTAGGAAAGTGAACACCCCTTTTGATTCCTCTGCAGTTACATGCCTTATTTAAGACAACTCCCCTTGAGATTTTTGTTGCTTTTTGTTCATATAGTTTGTCCTTGAATTATGTCATTTCTACCTTGTAGTACTTAAAAGTGTTTGGGGAATCAGCTTGATAATACATGATTTTAAATATTTTTTGTACAGAGGATAAGGCAGTCTGAGAAATTCTAAAAGAGTAATTGTGATCGCTTTAACTAATTAGCATCATGCCTTCAATGGCTGTTTCTTTTAAGCCTTAAAACTAATACTTCTTTCAAATTGTTCATATTGTTAGAATTTAAATAGATGTTAAAAAGCTGTAGTATAAAACAAAGTCACTGTGGACCTTAATTTTTAAATACTGTGTTTATTTTTTTTCCTTATTCACTAAAACAATAAGGGTAAAATAACTATGTAATTACCTAAATATTCTCTGCAGCCTTTTCATAAGCCTGTTTATGAAGAATACTCATTTATTCTAAACAGACTAATCCTTAAACCTAAAAAGAACTCCAAATCAGTTTGATCATCAGTAGACAGACCTATCATCTAAGGATTATAGAATTAAAACATTCAATATAATGAAAAAACTTGATCCTTTATGCCATATTTATGCTTTGATTCTAAGTAAATCCTTGATTTCATTTGCTTCCTAGTCTAGTATGAGAATAGAGCCAAGGAAACCCTAGATTCTCAGCATAGATTTGTGTGTGTCTGTGTGTTCTTAAGATTTCTGTTATTCTAACTATGGCATCTCTTTTCTAACATCTCTGAAAAACAAATGCAATATTTAAGCAAACAACTGAAAGTTTTATTATTATCATGATTGTGGTCAGATTCTGCTTGTAAATCAGGATAAAAAGAATCTTGAATTATTCTTTTCTGTCAGCCATGAGAGTATATAGTAGGGTAAAATGTACTTACCCTTTTATATTAATTTGCATCAATGTTTGCTAGAAGTAAATATAGCTTCCCAAATGAAAACAGGGCTCAAGAACATATTTTCTGATACAAAGCAAAGAGCATAGAACACTGATATAAGGGCACATTAACATGAAGTATTCTATTAATACTGAAATAAATGTTCTTTTCTCATAAAAAGAATAGTTGTTTTACTATAGGATTTCAGATATATTTTCATATAAAGTTTAATTTGTCATCTTTAGTGCTGATTATTCTCTCATTTTCAAATCGAGAACTTGCTAGAAGTTCCCAGTAGAAAACCTACCCTAAACCTTTTCTTTTTAATTTTAAATCAGTTACAATGTATTGAATTTATTCATTCATTTAATTAGTTTTACCTGGCTAAAGAAAAAATAGTGTCATTCTAGGTTTCTAAAAAGTACTGAGATTTTTGTTTCCTTCCAGATTAGAGATACTAAATCATCTGATCAGAAAACAACCCTTTTGCATTTTATTGCTGAAATTTGTGAGGAAAAATACCGGGATATCTTGAAATTCCCTGAAGAATTGGAGCATGTAGAGAGTGCAAGTAAAGGTAATTGATTTATAATTGTTCTGAGATTCTTTCTTGCCTAAGAATTTGTTTTAAATGTTGCATTAAGAAGTCTATAAACATTATTAATTGCAAAAGTATTTTTCTGGTTGTTCACTGATACAAGAAAAAACAGGGAAAGAGTTTCTATTAAATTATGTTTGACAGTATAGTGCATTTGAATTACCCGCCCGACTCTCTTTGTATGTGCCCTTGCTATTTTTTAACACTATGGGATTATTAAAGGTTTCATATCTCTGATCAGATAATATGTTTGATGAATGCTTAAATGTTTATGGTTTGCAAAGGAACCATACTTAGGGGTTTTGATGACCTCAAAATGATTGTGAGACAGTTCTTCCTTGAATGTGCTTAAAACAAGGATGAATGCAAGAAGTATTACGAGGATAGTTAATATACTATAGTACAGATGAGAGACAAAGTATTTTTTGCTGGATAGATAAGAGACGTCTCCCTGGAACAGTCGAAAGGGTGAAACTTGTGGGTATGATTTTTATAAACAGAAAAAGAGGTAGATTTTCTAGAGAGAAAACAGCACAAGCAAAGCACAGAGACAGAATGTTTTAGGACGGGTGAAGGGACTGGTTGACTATAAAGCTGGAGCAGTAAGGTAGGCATCAGAGATCCTTCAGTGTCATGCTAAGGCACCTTGTCTTGATGTAGTAGGCAATCAAGCATCCTTGAAGGGAGAGAATCAGTAGGGTGTGGCACCATGAGGAATAGGAGGTGAGGAACAAACAGTTTTCTAAGGTTTTAACTTAAGGTAATTTTCTTTTGTCAGTAAGTAAAGCTGGTGAGTATTGCCTACTCCTATAAGAGGTCGGAAAATGAAAGGAAAGGAGAATGCAGGAAACATTCTGAAGGCGAGATTATATACATGGGGAAATACAATTTATTTTTCCATATTAGAATCTCACCATGAATTTTATATTTGAGATTGCACTGCAGTAATTCAATTTCTTTTTAACTCTGAGTACTTTTTGTTAGTGTCCTTTGAAGGAACAAATATATATATGTCCATAAAACCCAGAATATTGTTTTTTTTTTGGTAGCATGGTGCGTTGATCATCTCAGCAGGTCTGGTATTTTCCACCAAACCCTCTAAATATTTCTATAATATCATCCAGCTTGTTTCATTTTGTGTTCTAAGGACCAGAATAAGACCAGGAGACAAATTATGATTCCACAATACCGTTTATTCTCCTGTCTCCTTTTTTAAGAAAATGTTTAGGATATGATGGAAGATTATGTTCACTGTAACTGTAAAAGCACCTTTCTGGAAAATGCTTTTCTAAAGACCTTCTATATCTTGACCTTTGTATTTTAAAATACACCTTTGTGACTGTAGGCATATTTACTAACATGTAACTAAATGCAACATTTAGAAAATTTGTACTGCAATTTGCCACATGTGAAAATGCTGCTACAGGATCAATTCTGAAATTAGAGCATTTCAGTGCTGTTATTACTTTTTTATTGCCCTATACCAGGATATTTTTCTAAATTGTATGCTTGTTTTATATGTAGATCCAATTTCAAAAATATTTTGGAAGGAAAAATATCAAGAATATGTTCAAATAAACTATTCTGACAATTTTGTGGTGACAGATTTTAAATTTTCTGTGGCTCATACTTTACATGATCATGTTGTTGTTGTTGTTATGTGCCATGGAGTCGGACCCAACTCATAGTGACCCCTCCTTGGATTTCCGAGTCAGTATCACTACAGAAGTAGATTGCCTAACCTTCCTTCTGAGGAGTGGCTGGTGAGTTTGAACCGCCAGCCTTCTTCTGATTAGCAGTCAAGTGCCTTAGGCACTATGCTACCAGAGCTCCCTTAT